CCCAACCTGACCCCGCTGTCTCTCCCCAGGTCTCCGCCTCGATGGAAGCAGCTCCAGCACCCAAAACCCCACCAGAACCTCCCTGGAGAGAGGAGGGAAGGACCCCAAACCCCTGACAGCCCCAGGGACCCCAAAAACTTTAGGGATGAGCCCGAGGGAGCCGCAGCAGGAGCTGCTTTGGGTCGGTTCGGACGCTGCTGGAGGAACTCGGGGCTGTGATTTATTGTGGGCTCGCAGGTAAGGAACCATCCCCAGATCCCAATTTCCTCCTGTGGGACTGCCAGAGAGCTGAGCCCTTCCCAGAGCAGGACAATTCCTCCAGGATGAGGGGAAGGGGAAGGGCTGGAGCCCCCCAAGGACCTCAGGGGTCCCCCCACTTTCATCCCACTCCGAAGGCTCCGCGCCGGGACGATTCCATGGACTGTGTTCCCATGGACTGTGTTCCCATGGACTGTGTTCCCATGGATTGTGTTCTGTTCCCATGGATTGTGTTCCCATGGATTGTGTTGTGTTCCCATGGATTGTGTTCCCATGGATTGTGAGGATCCAGGGGGATTTGGGGGCTGCTGACCCCCCAGGCACCCCCAGCCACTCCTGCCCCACGGATTGGCCTCACCAATGCCCCAATTCCTGGATTGGAACCTCCCAATTCCTCAGGATTTATCAGGAATCGAGGTTGGATACAGAGCTGTCGGGAATTTTTGGATTTTGGGGCCATTTGGGAACTCTGAGCAGGTTTGGGCTCTTTTGGGGGTGTGGGGAAAGGACAATGGAGGTCTTGGCGTGCCCAAATCGACCCCAATAAAGCCCAGGGGGAATTTCCAGGGTTCAATTCTTGTTTTTCCTAGGGAATGGTGCTGCCAGGTCCGCCCTGCACCTCCCTCGGCTGGGCTGCTTTTATTGGAATAAAGAAAAAAATAATCAGGTTTTTTTTGCCTGTTATGGCAGGAAAAGAGGGGGAAATTCCCTTCCAGGGAGGCTGCAACAGGCCTGAGCCCCCAAATATTCCATGGGAGAGGAATTCCAGTTGTGATCAGGTTTGGGGCGCACCAGAGAACCCACGGAGGAGCCACAGGAAGGCCCAGAGTGACTTTTCTACCCAATTCCCAATTTTTATGTGCAGTGGGATTGGATTCCCTGCTCCGAGGAGTCGACTGCAGCCTTCAGAAAAATCTGGAGGTGCTTTAAAAAATCAGAGTTCTGTTAAAAACAGGGCTGTGGTGGCTTCGTTCGGGAAGGATTTTACAGCTGAGAAACAAAATCGGCTTTAGAACTTAAAATCTTCCTTCAAAAAGTAATAAATTGTGCTTGAAAAATAAAGGGCAAAAACCTATCTGTGGAGTGAGACTCCAGCTTCCAACCAAAAAGGTGAAATATATTTTTAAAAGACTATTTTCAAGTATTTTGATGTGTCTTGTTTGTTTAAGAAATCTCTGCATTTTAAATGAGCAAAAAAACCTTAAAATGAGAAAAAAAAACCTTAAAATGAGGAAAATGTCATCCTGCGCATGGTGGATTCCTCCTGGTAAATTCCAGCAGGATGGAGCTTGGGAGGTCCCTCCACCCACCCAGGGACCCCCACCCTGAGCCACACCAAGGGTTTTGATTCCTTTTCTTTTTTTTTCTTTTAAAATTTCTTTGTTTTTGTTTTTTTGTTTTGTTTTGTTTTTATACAAAATCTCCTCCCCCCCCCCGTCGCCGCGGCCGGAGCTGCTCCCACGCCCAGCTCAGCCAGGGCTGTGTCCCCTTTGTCCCCAGGGTTGGGTCCCCTTTGTCCCCAGGGTTGAGTCTCCTCTGTCCCCAGGGTTGAGTCCCCTCTGTCCCCAGGGTTGGGTCCCCTCTGTCCCCTCTGTC